TCTTTTCGTATCACCTTAGCGTTGGGCCTTTAAACTAATTTATTGCTTCAAGTGTCAGTGCTTAATCGCCATCTCTTTTATGTGAAGAAGGATTTCATCATATTCACCCACCATTCAGTGTTGCGTCTACTGTACACGCTCCTCGCGTGGATGGAAGAATTCAGTTGAGAGCTCTTTTTTAAGGAAACTTTAATGTAATTTTCAGTTTTGGAATTAGACCTTCTCAGTCATGGTCAAGTGGAGACTGTAATTGTTTAACGCCTCAATCTAATCACCTGTGTCTCCTGATATGGATTGCGGAAGATTTGCGTCAAATTCCGGCGCGCCTTGATTGTTTGGTTATAAAAGGGACAATGATCAAGAAGACAATATTATTTTACCATGGAAATAGTATTATGAAAGGAGGTTAAATCTCCTTTTGATAGGAGTTTCTGAGTAAGTTAACATTCAGTCTTTCAAGGCCACTAGTGTAGTTCATATTTTACAAAAATGAATATGAGAGTAAACGTGACCAAGATACTTAATTTCAGTAGAAAACAATTTGCTATAGAGTAAAACAGTCGGTCACTGTGCTGTCCACTCCATCTGCCTTTGCTGGGTACAATACTGTATTTTTTAGGTACGTTTTAGAAAATAGGCATGTATTTAAATTGATACAATAATATATAAAACTCTAACAATCAATATATTAAATGACAAACCTACTTGAAAATCAGTTTCTTTTTTGTTACCAAGCCTCTTAGCCATCGCCGTGGAATACCAGGGTTTGCGCAGCGAAATTTCGATCTAAACTTGGACGTGATCCTTTTGTGTCGTTGAGTTTTTTAGGGAGATATTGCTTCCTCTGTATTAAAAAATAAAGATCACATTTGGAGGGCTAAAAAAAGGAGTGAGTAAACCCCTCACTCCTGAATTACAACCCCTTGGTAACTTTTGGTCGCTTGCAAACATGAATTCAGTGTTGATATTGTCGTTTTTTTCAGGGGTACAAAGGAAAAGTTCGTTCATACATTTGCGTATTGGTCCCATGTACTAATTTCAAAGTAAACCAAGTACAGCATTAAAAAAAAAAACAGTTTATTAGTAAATGGACGTAACTCCTATTAACAACTCGCATTCTGCCTAGGATCCCGACTTATGTGTCAAAATAATTTAAATTTCATTTTAAATAACAATTTGAGACAAAAAAAAATTTGTTTCGCCTAAGTATCGATTTACTTTTAGTTTCCAAGACAAAACGTGATAACCTTAAAACGAATGATGCGACCTGTATGATAGATCGAATGACATTCTTAGAATAATTACACGATGCTTTTATTTTTTTAATCTTATGAGACCCGGTTCAAGCTCTACTTCTTTAACCCGGTTCAAACGCTACTCCACTTGAGGGCTTGGCATATCTGTCAAGTATGACAAAGAAGGAAGTTTGGTTCAAAAGTTTTATTTTGGCAAGATCCTCTCTCGATTTTGGTAAGGTAAAAATCGGTAACCTCGACGGCAACTTTCGTGTTATTTAGCGGTAACATGCAGTGGGCCGGTTTTCTCATGCGCCAATCCTAATGTATGCCTTTTTTTTCTTGTAACCTAAGTTCGCCGGTTAAACCATCCCTGGCTCCAAAGTCAAACTTCATCAAATTAGATTCTGTACATGAGCATGTGCATGAGTAGCCTGCTGGGAAAACAGCCGAAATTTAGCGATGTCTCCACTGGTTTTCCTGCAAAATTTCATCTGAGGAACGAGTGCAGAGATTCCATACCGATGACACATATGGTTAAAGATTTGATTCAACCAATCAGAAGCACCCCCCAGATTTGAGTAGTGACGCGTCATCAGTAAGGAATTTCTGCGCTCGTTTCTCAAGTCACCAGTGGTAGCGTCGGTAAATGTTTGTTGTTTCCTCAGGCTAATGTATAAGAACAGGTGGGTGCGGCGCTTGAACCAAGCATTTTACGGAAGTTCTTATGAAAACAGTTACTTAATTAAGGAGTATTCTCGAATGCTGTCACGTGACCTCAAATGAGGAACTTCTCTTAAGTTATTGGTTTCGATAGAAAACCGCACCCTACTTGGCCAAGACCAGATTTGTCTCCGTTCTTCGGAACACCAATCCTTTTTAACCCCATGTAGAACTTGTTGTGCAGATCAGACTGATAATAATTATATCCATCAAGGTGTTGAATCTCTATCCATACACACGACGGGTTCGTGCTTTCCTGTGATCAAAAGAAACTTTATTAACAACCTTGTTCCCAGGAACCTCTAGGCATTAAAAATGGCGGCACCAAAACAAAGACTATTTTATCTAACAAAGATGGCTGAACTAGCTAGTCATAATAGGTTGTGTTAAGAAAAATGCCGGGAGGTATTCCCTACAACGGCCAATACGGCGAGGCTCCGCTCGAAAGGGGTTCCTTTTTCAGGCGTAAGGTGTATGATGAAAGGGCAGGAGCCCAGTTTCACTAGTTGAAGTATATTAAAGGGTTGGGAAATCTGTTATTTCGGTCTGTAAAAAGACCAAACCAAACTATCAAAGGGGTACCTTGTCTGTCAAAAATGGTATATAACAGGTGAGGGGTTGGACCTCGGGGCGGAACCTCTCCTTATAAAACTCCATTTTCCCGCTCCCTTTTAAAAGGGTAAAAACTGCAAATGCATTTTACATCAACTCGATTGCACGTCAAAAAAAAAACCGATTCGCTGTGGTAAGGGGCTATCGCTCAAAACGTCGTCTTTTGAACTTTTTAACGATGGCAATTGATGACTATTATTATCCATTATTTGTCTTTCAATCCCCCACCCACCGAAAAGCAAGACCACAGTTTAAAGAGAAATGCCCTAGGAGACCTGGTCGCCGGCCGCAGAGCAAGAACATCAACGCTTCTCGCGTTGCCCAATTTTCTTTTTCTTTTTTTTTAGAAACGTACGACCCCAATATGATATTTCAAGTCCCCATTCAAAGTATTTTTTTAAGGGAGCCCTTCCTGTTGTGGCCCCTACTGGTTATCAGTATATGGATCAAGGTGAAAGCCCTCTTATGGCTTTAACCAACTATGATAACTATAGACGAATCAGTTTCAGCTAGTCCAATATATGGATAAATTAAGCTGGCAGAGTAGTAATATAACACTGAAAACATCAACATAACTCTTAGAATAGATCACGTAAAAATTTATATTCTTTCGCTTCAGCGCTACCCTGCGAGCAGAGTCTCCTTCGATCTTATTTTGTAAGGCGATCGAAGGAGACTCTGCTCGCAGGGTACTTCAACGCTAAATGACGATTGAAATCTCCGGAAAGAAACCAGACAGCTTAACCTGAGTGCTATTGCAAGCCAACCACACGCGGAGAGTTTAATTAACTGCATAAATTGTGGCTTTAACCTCTACATTTATTTGAATTTTATTGAAAGAAACTTACTGCCACGCACAACTCTCCTTGAGCATTCACCGCAACATAAGCTTTGGTTTTCTCTCCTCGAATAGTGACCTTGCCAAAATCAACCGTTTTCAGTTCTAAATCTGGAAGAGTAATAAACACTTTCAGTTTGAAATGAGCAGAATGGGTCAATTGTTTGGTACAGATAACACTGCAGGTTTGTACACTTCACCATTAAATTCGATTATAAGGTAATTATAACGTATAGTACAGTCACAAAGTCAGATTTCCGGCCGCATTGTTCTCTTACCACAATAGTCGTCCCTCGTTCTTACACCACGAATTCTTTGCTGCCC